CTTTGAAAAGAAAACTCGATGCCTACATAAAGGTGAAGTGAACTGGGGGTTACAGTGGGTGTGAGGCTCGTGCGGAGTATAAACACCAGGCTGGACTAGTTGGGATCTCTTTCCAAGTTGTATTACTCTATGTAACTCCTGGTTCTGCTACTAAGTAAACCTGGGTCGGCTATTCACAATGCTCTTATAGCTGAACAAAATAAATCTGCCCCTGCAACAGATCACCTCTTGTCCTGGGGAATCTAGTCAAGTAGAATCTGAAGCCTTGAAATCAACTGGCACTGAAATCATCTCCCCTTTGTATGGAGAAAATCTGTATTAACCAAATCATTAACCCAGTGGTGGCTTTTTGGCCAACAGAATAATCATAGAAAAAACAAAATAGCGTAAATTTATGCCATCAATCAAGAAATATTCAACAAAGAAACATTTATATTTTTGGCCGACCAAAGAGATTAAAGTTCCCATGGCACTTTTCGAAAAGAAAAAGGAGTTTCTCGTGGTGTCCTGGCCGTCATTGACCCCCTTTCAGCTGCTTTTCCCTATTCTCTGGAACTGTCTTCTGAAATCCATCTGCCTCCACCTTCCCCTTTCAAAATCTGCCTAAGATCCATCTCTTTAACTCCACCCTTCCCCCTTCTCTCCCAGCGGGGCCTCCAACTCCAACTTTATAGAGTGTCTTTGCCTTTCTGAAGTGTCTTGCAATGTTCCTGATACATAAAAGCTGCAGTATATGTGAAAATTGGTATTGTCACACATAGCAGCAGTTACTATATATATCCTCATTCTGTGTAAACTCAGTGTGGGTTTTTCACTGCTCCATTGATCCTTGATTTATTTATTTTTGCTTGTCTAGACTTTTGATAGTTTAATTTATGGCTCTTGCATCCTCCAATGTACAAACTTATCTGATGCAGCTTTAATATTTAAAAACATTTATGTAAATCTGAAAGTCACAAAAGCGCACATTTAATGGGAACAAAAGCCTATTATGATTATGATCTCTACTGCAAAATGAGGGAGTTTTCATTAAGCTGCATCTCAGCTTGTCATTGAACTTCAAATTAGTTTCCATTATCCAGTGTGTGTCTAACTGATCAAATATAATGAGTTCTGGCTCTCAAAATATTGAAAAGTTTATGTGAGCCTTGTCAGTGAGTCTCACTGACAAGGCTCACATAAACTTTTCATTGTCAGTAGGACCTTGTCCCTCATGTAATTGATGGTGTTCACTTTATTATTGTGTTGTGAAAGTGGTAATGATTCCAAGAAAAGCCTTGTGCTACATATCTCAAGTTAATTCCTAACTAGCAGCGCCACATTTAACAGCTGAGCAGCACTTTCACAGACCTATTCAATGTTGCCTTCAGTTGTTAAATGTCCTGCTGATCAGAGCATTTTAAAAGATGTCAAAAAAGCATTTGATAAACAGATGAAATGGATAAGCAAGGTGTGAATACAATTAGGAGGGTGTATGGATTTCTCCATTTTATTTGGCTCACATTTAAAAAAACATGCTAAGTCCCATGTCATAGTGCCTCCTACTAAGATTTAAATCAAACAAATGGGAAAAGACGTAGCAGTTCTCACTGGCATAGTGCTAAGGCCAGTCATTGAACAGAAGATGGTTTAGATTTTACAATCAGAAGTTTGATTTGGTTCAACCCATTGCAGATAGCCATTTGAAAGTAGCAATTAGTCTAGTATGGGAACATCAAACTCATCTTGAATCAGTTGAAAGCGAATCAGTTAATGTTGTTGAATGAAAATCTTAGTATGTTGATCTTTTTTATTTTAATCTGGAGTAAGGAAACTTGCCCAAGGTTTCGCCCTGCCTGGAATTGAACTCAGATTTTTCGCTTGCAAAGCGAGTGCTCTAACCACTGAGCTACAGGACTCCATGATTATTCCACACAGAGCCTAATAATAATCCCTCCAAAATCAAAAAACAATAATAAATTGGTCATTTTCAATCTACGACTGTTTGTGGGACATTGCTGTGCGCAATTGGCTGCCGCGTTCGCCCACAAATATACAGTCAGTTCACTTTACAGTGTGTTCTGTGAAGAGCTTTGGGACGTCCTCCCGACGTGAAAAGCGCTATATCAAATGCAAGGATTATTATTACTTGCTCTCCATGACCTTTACATTTTCAAACCTTCTGTTTAATTCATGTTTACATTGATTGTATAGACTCTGCTAAAAGAATGGTATTTTCACATGTACCAATCTCTCCATCCCTATCACCCAAGTCCTTGCCAGGCACCATTTGCTCCCTATTGTAAAACACATTGATTTCAAGATTCTCACACTTATTTATCATTCAATTCATGCTTAGCACCGCTCTATCTTTTTGATCTACTTGCACCGCACTCCACTATCCATCCCCTTTGCTCAGCTGGCTCTGGCTTTCTACACATCCCTTGTACCCTCCACTCCACCATTAGCTGCTGTGGTTTCAGCCAATGTGTCCCAAACTTTGGAACTCTACCTCAATCCCTTCTCCTTGCCCCATCCTTCAGATTGCACCTGAAGATCATTTATTATCTAATTTCTCCATGGCTTGGTGTCCAGCCCCGTCACTATTAAGCACTCCCAAGACTCCACCAACATGAAGGGTACTATACAGGTAGATGCAAGTTGTTGGTGATGGTAGTTTGTGGAGAGAATCCAGTCACTCTGGAGTGAAGAGGTGAATGCACAGTGTGACTTGTTGTAATAATTAATAATAATCCTTGCATTTGACATAGCACCTTATCACATTGCCCAGACGTCTCAAACGGTTGACAGAATATATTGTGAAGTGATTGGCCGTGTGTACTTTGTTTCCCAGCAAATAGAAGGTTCATGAGTTAAAACCCTAAAATAAGTGCACTTGAACATAGAATAAACAGTTTCAATTTATAACGTGCAACAGTTTGAGTTATTTACAAAAGATAAGCAACTTATTTAGCTTAGTTCAATTGGGCATTGAATTCATTGTGTCTTACTTCTCAAATGAGCTCATAATAACAATCCTTGCATTTGATGTAGTGCCTTTCATGTCAGGAGGATCTCTCAAAGCACTTCTCATGATTTACTGTATGTGGTCACTACATGTTTTTTAGTCGAAACCAGCAGGAAATTTATGCACAGCATTGTCCACAGCTTGCGATTTATGTGCTCAGATGGATAGAAATATAGAAACCTGCAGCGCAGGAGGCCATTTGGCCCAGCAAGCCTGCACTTGCTCACAGAACAATGATATTGCATCAATCCCACCAGCACACCTTATCCCCATACGTCTGCAAGCCCCTCTTTGAATCCTGTCTACTTCCCTCTTGAAAGCTACAATAGACTTTGTTTCCATCACCATACTAGGCAGAACATTTCACATCCAAACAACTCTCTGGGTGAAAATATTCCTCCTAAGTTCTTTCACTGTTCTTGTGACTATCTTATAATGTTGTCCCTTAGTTACTGGCTCCTCTATCAATGAAAATAATCTCTCAATTTACCCTAACAAAACTCCTTATGATTTTGTACACCTCATCAGGTTCCCCCTCAGTCTTCTCTGTTCCAATGAAAACAGGCGCAGCTTCTCCAATCTCTTCTCATAAGTGTACCCCTTCATTCCCAGAATCCTTCTCGTAAACCTTTGAACCTCTTCAAAGGTCCTAACATCTTGAAATGATGTGCCCAGAACTGGATTCAATATTCTAGTTGCGACCTAACCGATGTTTTGTACAAATTTAAGCTGAATTTCTTTACGTTTGTACTCTATTCCCCGGTGTATAAAACACAGCAGACTACTATTCTTCTTTACAGCATTTGTCCCTTACAATGCCACTTTCAATGACCTATGTGTCTGCACTCCCAAAATCCTTTATTCCTCATCTCCAAGTAGGAAACTGCTGTTCAATATATACCTTATTTTTTTACCAAAATGTATTGCCTTTTTCCAAATCAGATTGGGATGAAATCCAGATGTGCAATTTAAGTTGCAATCATTGAACCCCAGAGATTGTATTACATCTTCTAATACAAACATCCCCATTGGCACTCCTCTGCTACAATATCAATCTAGTTTTCCTTGTTCATTTCAGAAACATAGCTACTGGTAGTTTGTATTGTCATGATTTGACCCTCATCTCCAGTGTCTATATCAAATGCATACATTGTTTGCGGAGATGAACTGATAACAATAAGCAGCTACAAGCAGTTTACTTCCCTTTAGTGCGGAGATTGGATCTTTTCCAGTAATTAATAATTAGTGATTGGAACTGAATTGAAGAGGAAACTTGATGTATAAGGGAGAAGGGAATAGAGGGGTACAGGCGAGGGCATTAGGAGGGTGATGGCTCATGTGGAATGTAAATACCGGAATGAGCTGGTTGAGTGAATGGCTTGTTTCCACGCTGTATCATGTTATGTAATTCTATGAATTGTAAGGCTGCAATTCAGTCGTGTGGTTAAAAGTCCAATTGATCCAAGTTGGAAAGGTGCAAATTGAATGGTTTTATTTATCAAAATCAGGGACTGGAAATCTTCTATCATAAAGACATTTGTTGTAAATCAAATGTGCAGTTCAGTTACTGATGGTTAATAACTGATCACTAGTGATTCAGGATTAGAAAAGGGATTAATGATCACAAAAAAGCACTCAGGTCTTGTGAAAACAATGGTATCAACTCATTTTTTACCCAGTAATAAGAGCAGATTTCCTTTAGATTAAAAGGGGTTGGAATTCTTGCCTCGGGTTGTAGTTACTTTGTATTTAGAATGGAAAAACTACCGTTCTAAAGGGTGTCATCAAATTTGTTGCGCTTAGCAATAAGAGGAAATTCTCATCTAAAAGATCAAGGCAGACGATCATGTATTTTTGTTCCAGGTAATCTGATACACCGCTACATTGTGGGGAGGTGGGGGATAGGATTTTATTTGTATTTGTCTGTCAAGTTAAGTGTGACCGGCCATGAATAGATTGCCCAGATAAATTCTTTTTAAATCTCTTGTTTTAGGTGGAGCGTATTATTTAATATCCAGAAGTTTGGGACCTGAATTTGGTGGAGCCATTGGCCTTATTTTTGCCTTTGCAAATGCAGTAGCAGTCGCCATGTACGTAGTGGGGTTTGCTGAGACACTTCGAGATCTCCTTGTGGTAAGTAGTTGGAGTGTAACCATGAAAGTTTGGCCTTTTGACTGTTTTAATTCTTTTGTTTCTTAAAAAAGAATTATAAGCTATAACTCAGTGGGACCCAGTTTATAACTCAGAAGTTAGCTATCCATAAATTCCTGAACAGTGCTGACTGCTGTAACTGGGCGAGATTGCTGTCAGTGCTTCTGCATTTATTGTGCAGAAAGATAGCTGGCTCCATTGACCTTTCAAAATGCATGTAAGGTGTTGTCAGCAACGTTCTGGTGACCTGGAAGTTGGCCATTTTTGACTTCCCATATCCAGCCGTTTTGAAAGCCGATCGAGCCAGCAAAAAGACATTAACTGACATTAAAAAGACATTAGTTAATGTCTCGGTCACTATAGACAAACCCAATAACAAATATAACAAAGCCCATTATTATACAATTGTACAGTATAGGGTAAATCTCTCAGTGTGAACACAAAGTCCATTACTACTAAAATAGACTTTTTTTTCAATGAAACTCTTTCATTACAATAACAACTTGCACCTGGAAATCTTTAATTCTGCCATATTTTTATTATTTTCAAAAAAGTTGACTTACTTTGTTCTGTGTTATTTGAGGAAAATGATTCAATTATGGTGGATGAAATGAGCGACATCCGGATCATAGGAACCATTACTATTGTTTTGCTGCTGGCGATATCTGTAGCTGGAATGGAATGGGAGTCTAAGGTAGGATTATGAACCTAATTTTAAACCCAGAAATTAATGTGTAGAATGATTACTGAGACTTTATACCCCCAATTGTTGTTTCAAATACATTTTCCCCTCCAGTTCTTACTCATCAATGATGAGGCAATCTTACAATCTTCGCACAACTGAGTGTCTGCAGTCTATTTAACCATGGCCTGGCTCACTTTGTATTACTCTCACCTCTGGGTCAGCTCACAGTGAGCTCATAGTCTAGGCCAACAATTCTCTTGAACATTCACCTCATGGCTATTTGTGGGATATTGCTGTATGCAAAATTGGCTGCAGCGTTACAACGACAACTTGCATTTATGTAGTGCCCTTCATACGGTGTAACGTCCAGGAGTGCTTGACACTGGCAGAGTCTGACCCCGAGCCAGAGGTGGGAGGGGAGGTGACTGTAAGCACGATCAAAAAGAAAGGTCTTTAGGGGGGATTTGAAACTGGGGAGGGAGCGGTCAAAGCGGAAGGATCGAGGGAGAGAGTTCCAGAGTTTCGGGACATAGTGGCTGAAGGCACGGCCACCAATAGTGGAACTTAGGGGACAAGGGACAAAAAGGAAGCCGGAGTCTCTTGCAAATACACCCACTACACATCGCAGAAACTTCTGAAAGGTTTTGAGACGCAAATTACATAATTCTGAAGAACATTACACACAGGTTGGCAAGAACCTAGACTTGGGGGCCTCAAAGTCTGTGTTGGGGAACTTTTGGAATTTAACCAGCTAAAACCTCATAATTTGCTATTGAGAGCACTATTTGGCAAGCTTCCTGCTGCTTATCCAGCTGGAACCACCTTAACATTTCGGGCTTTGGCTTGCAGGGTTAATGGGAACTGAGTGAAAAATCCCTGCCCTCAGTGACTGGTCTGTTTCTCCAAGGCCTGCTGATGAGCCAGGCTCGCTGGTCAGTCATCAGCAGTGCCCTGGAATACTGTGGTCCTGCCTGATTCAGGAATTGGACTACCATGATCACCATAGTGAGTTGACTCAATGCCAGGAACATCACCTTGGAACAAGCTCAGCTCCAAGGAGTTCCCAGTTAATAATAATAATAATAATAATAATAATAATCCTTGCATTTTCTAGGATTAGACATCTTCTAGACATCCCAAAGCGCTTCACAGAATATACTGTAAAGTGAATTGACTGTATATTTGTGGGCGAACGCGGCAGCCAATTGCGCACAGCAATGTCCCACAAACAGTCATGGATTGAAAATTACCGATTTATTATTGGTTTTTTTTGAGGGATTATTAGGCGTGTGGAGTAAGGAAACTTGCCCAAGGTTTCGCCCTGCCGAGAATTGAACTGAGATCTCACTTGCAAAGCGAGTGCTCTAACCACTGAGCTACAGGACTCCAGTTACCTTTCCACATTCACTCACGATGGTTGGAAATTCTGTTTAGCTCCATTTGTGAAAACAAGCCAGCTGTGCAGACCTCCTAGAACAGACCTGTGTAGCTTGTGTATCTGTATTCAGTGTGCTTTGATTGATAAGTTGGCATTAAAACTTCTGAGGTTACAAGTTGGATTCTTTTCCAAATGACCATTATAATTTAGAATTGTAAAATTAGAATTGCTGAAGCAAATGAATTTCTATCCCCGCAGGCTCAGCTCTTGCTGTTGGGAATTTTGCTGATAGCCATAATAAACTTCCTTGTCGGAACATTCATCCCAGCTAATGACAAGCGAGCTAAAGGCTTTTTCAATTACCATGGTATGTGAGACCCAGTGTTGCTGCAGCGTGCATGGAGCTGGTAGGGATGCATTTCAAGCCCTGTTTCTCAACTTCCCATTGGAATGACTGGCCAACGTGATTGGGATCTGCTTATTTACTGCTCTGCTGATTGTTTCATGCTTCCAGCAGCAAGTCTGAGAAATGCATACACTTTCTTATTCTCTGTTTGTAATTAACTTGCCTTTTCACTATTTCTTGAATTCTAAGCATTGTCTTGCTGCCTCCTTGGTAGTGTTAGCAAAGGTTTTTTTTGGAGCAAATTCCATGCCAAAGAGAAAAATTTAACCAAGATTTTAAGTTACATCAATCTGTTGCATCTATTATTGCGGGCTCCCAAAAGCCTTCTGTGTAAACAGTATTTGGCTCGTTTTGCATGAATATACGTATGTCCTTAGATTTGTATCTTTTTGCCTTTTTATCATCCTCCCTATAACCTGTACCCCAGTCACTGCAATAGGTAATTGTTAACTTGTTCCAGCATTCCTTACATATTTTGAGAACAGTAGTGTGCTCCCCTACATCAGTCCACAATGCAATTCCCAAGTTGTACTGACAGAAGAGGAGAGCAAGACTAAATACTGGTTCTCAATTGCTTATCCTACTACACAGTTAGCCTAAAGGGTATGAGCTGGTGATACAAACCATAGTCATCCGTTTATTTGCTTCTGATGTATTTGAGCTTGATCAGTCACAGGAACATTACAGTAATCCATTTAATGTAAGCTTGTCCAGTTCTCCATAAGACCACTAGATTGTCCAAAAAACATTTCCATGAAATGTGCTTATAATGGAGACAACACTAATAAAAAGGCTTTTTTGCTTTTAGTTTTTTGAAGTTGCTCCATTTTATGGTAAAATGAATTTCACCCACCTGCTCATTCCATGAAAAGTGAAACTGAACTATTCTGAACAATATACCGAACAATTCTTGCTTGAATTGAAAACTTGTTTTCATGTGCCAATGGGCATGTCGAATTGATCTTACGCTACTATCATGGTTTGCGGTGGCGGGATAGGCGTGGGGTGAGGGATTTTGTGTGTGTGATTGGCGGGGGGGGGGACGAGGATGGAAGAAAACACCTGAAGATGCTCTTAAGAGTTTTGTAACACGATCCCCTCTGGTCACATCTTCAGTTCTCTCTTCTGTTGTTGGCAGTCATCTTTGCTGTTTCAACATAACAGAAACATTCCTAGTTTGTAAAATATGTAAACTATAATCAAGGAATGAGAGATATCATCAGTGAGAAGTGCTATCAGATCTTGGGTTTGGCCCTGACTCACTGTTCGAGGTGCTTAAAATAATACCCCTCGATCTGTTCTATTTTACTGCACTGCAGCTCCACTGTCTTTCTAATAAATATATGAACATTAGGAGGAGCATGGGGGGCCCTAGGTGGGGATTCTCTTGTCAAAATCAGTACTGGGATGTATTTATTAATCGTGAAGAAAGTTTTAAGTGAAAATTGTGAATTTCGTCTAAAAAGTCCAGGGGTATGGGGAAGGGGCAGGTAAATGCTACTGAAGGATAGCTCTTAAAAGAATCCAGAACAGACACAATGGGCCAATTGGCCGTCTTCTGTTCTGTAAATTTCTATAGTTCTATGAACTACGTTAGATGCTGTAAATGACACATTGCACATTTCATGTTGGCTGGTAAAAGTTGCATTGATTGTGGCAGTTAGGGGTGGTTAAGTGTACTCTTTCCCTTCCCTGCTGCACTTACTATGTGTTGGCAAGCCACCCTGTCAAGGAGTAGGGTACGGCGATATACTCATCTAAATTTAATTTTTGGTTGTGAAATCTACACTTAAATGTTTTGAAATCTGGCCCATTCTGTAATTTGCAATTCTGACAAAATCCGTACATTCCTATAAACCTGTACTAGGTGTATTGTGACGAGCATCAAAGTTCATTGTTACTTAAGTAAGAGGATACTGATGTGTCATGCGGAATCTAACTTAACTGGATTCCTTAATAAAGAATCCAATTTGCACAAATGGGAAGATGCCACAAAATACACAGTCACTGCACTTTACAGTATATCATATGAAGCGCTTTGGGACATGCTCCCGACATGAAAGGCACTATACCAAATGTAAGGACTGTTTATATGAAGCCACTTTTGGTAGTGACACGTAAATCCAAACAGCAGGAACTTGATTTCGATAAGATCTCCATAGGCAATGGAGATTCTTCCGGTGGACTGGACGGTTTCTTTAAGGAATTCTGTTAACATACTGCAAATTAAGACTCCATATTTTATACTTGTTGTTGTGGAATATCCTGGTGCCGTACATGAGGTTTGAAAGGGCTAATTCTTGGGCTTGTTTTTTTCAGCCGATATACTTCTTGAGAACTTTGGACCAGCCTTTCGTGACAATGAAGATTTCTTCTCTGTCTTCTCTATTTTCTTCCCTGCTGCTACTGGGATCCTTGCTGGAGCAAACATCTCTGGTGATCTTGCAGTAAGTACTTGCTTCTCAGCTGTTCAGAAAAAAAGTAATAATATATGAAATCTGATCTGAGAGATTCCTCATAAATTGTCCGTCATCTGCTGCAGTTTTGCTGAATCCTATTAAATAAGTATTGCCGAGTGCTAAACACTTTTATACCCGAGGCTCCAAACTGTTGCACTAGTGTTGTTAATAGTCTTCCTTTGTGACGTTTCTGAGGAGAGCAGTCAGTTTCATGGGCTAGATCCTTTGTGTTGAAAGTGCTGTTGCATTCATTCTTTGCCAGAAAATTGCACAGTTGTTGTCTTCAAGCTGTTGTGTTGAGGCTGCAGCTGGAACTGAGCTACACCAACTGAGAACTGGAAAGACCTTTGTGGTTTTCCTGTTGTTACATATTTTGAAGACAGCCTCCCTTCCTTATCCTGTTGCCTCTTTACCTCCTTCCCCCAATAGTCTATTGATTAAAACCATCACCTGATGTAGAACTAAGGCAAAAGTACAGATCAGAAGTTACATCTCAGATGAGACAACACCAACTTGCATTTATATAGCAATCCTTACACAGGGTAGCATCTCAGAGCGCTTGACTCAGCAGAGATTGAATTTGTCAATCTCTGCTGTGGCAGCAGCCAATGTTGCAGCTATCTTCAGCATTTCTATAATAATAACAATAATCCTTGCATTTGATGTAGTGCCTTATCACGTCTTTGAGACGTCTCAAAGCGCTTCACAGAATATCCTGTAAAGTGAATTAACTGTATATTTTGTGGGCGAAACGTGGCAGCCAATTGTGTACAGGAATGTCCTACAAACAGGTGACTGTTATTTTATAATTTTGAAGGAATTATTATCCCTGGAAAAGTGATCCGCCAATCGACCAACAACCTCTTCCCAGCACAACTTCTGTGCTGGAAAGGTGACCAAATTGCCTGGGTTTTACTGTAAAGTGTATGTGTGGGTGTCCTTCAGGGTCAATCTAGATTGTGATCCTTCTCCTACATGGTCATAGGTGGCCAAGACTGTATGTCCAGGCTTACATCTTAACAATGAATAAGGTGCCATAAAGCTATTGGCTCTTACCCTAAACATCAGGCAGTGTGTTCAGGAGAGAAATTAGGGTCTTGCAATAGTCATGGCTTTTGGAGGAGGAGGAGGTAGAGATGACAATATTTTGTACAGTACAGATGAAGTCTCTATTTCCTTATCCTCCTCTTCTGGGACTCCTGGTTTGCTGGGCTAAGATTCTTGCATAGAGACTTGCACCCTCCCTTAACTCACTCAACTAGCTGTTCCCTTAAAAAAAATTGATGTCTCAATTCACGACTGTTTGTGGGACACTGCTGTGCACAATTGGCTGTCGCGTTTTGCCCACAAATTACAGTCAATCCACTTTGCAATATATTCTATGAAGCACTTTGAGACGTCTCATTGACGTGGTAAGGCGCTGTATCAAACGCAAGGATTATTATTATTTCTCATGTGTTGTTGGGGTAGCAATTGTTGGCGTTTTCTTTGGCTGTGGGGGAAATTGCCAAGCCAGAGCCCCCATGGGTATGAACACTTTCTAACAGACGTCACTTGACTTCTTCCCCTTCTTTCTCCCCAGCACCCCCAGCTACCACCCACAGCACAAAGTGATGGGTAAATATCCTGTAATAGACATGGTCTCACTATTGCCAAATATTGTTTTCGATTGGTGGGGTGGGGTAGCTGCTATTTTCACTAGTGATGACATGTGCATTCGTTCATTCCAATGTGACTTATGTCCTCATATTGCATCTTTACCAGTTTTGCCTACCATGTTTCCAGCAAGTCAGTGGGCTTTATTGTGTGCACTTCCAACACTATATCTATATCTCGCTAGTTTAGTAATGCTTTTCAGAAAATTCAGTATCTTGTGTGTAAGTGAAAATGTCATAAGATATTCCACAATAGTTTCAGCATGTGATTGAGGTGGAAGACTTTTTTCTGTAAGAGTTTAAATGTTAAGTGATTTAAATTAACGTTAGGCCACAGGTTTACTATAATTTTTTCTGTGATTAATTCTATGTCATACCACTCCTCAACCTTCTCTGCTCCAAAGAAATGAGTCCTAACCTCTCTAGCCTCTCCTCATAGCTATATCTTGTTTTCAGTTTTAACCTCACAGATCTACAACTGCAGCCTCTGCATAGCTCTAATATTCTTTCTGTAACTTACTGCCGAAAGCAGCACACAATATTCCAGCTGCAGCCTGACCAAAAGTCTTCTACAAATTTGTCACCATTTCCTGACTTTTGTATTCAGCGTACATGGAATCTGGAATCTGTTTCCCCATTTAAAACAGCCTTCTCTACCTGCGATCCTACCTGATAACAATTTATCACCCTAGATTCCAGTGAAAAGTACGTAAACTAATTTTGAGAAGGGAATAACTGGCGAAGGTAGTGAAAGAAGCCAGCTGAGAAGATCGTAAACAAATGCTCCTCTTCCTGGTCTTGTGAATGGAAAGGGATTGACCTTGGTTGGGTAGAATTTTATAGGTGGCCACACCTGAAGCTGAGAGGCATTCTTCATTTACAACCCGAAGCAGTGAGAAAACTATTCAACCAGAGATCATAACAACCAGGTTTTGTCAGTCTCTTTTTTTTTGTCTCTTCACTCTCTCTCACAAATTTCCACAGACTTTCCAGTAAAGATCATTGGTTGGTAAGCTAAACGTGGGAACCCAACCTATTTATTTTTTCCAATCCTGGAACCTCCTCCAATGTATGACTCAATTTCACGCAGGATGTTGAATTCACCAACTGACTCATCGAAGGACTGTATTTCTCAAACAAGACCCTGTCTATCTGTCTGAGGTCAAATAAACTTTGCTTGTCCAATTGCACTGCTGTTAATGGTGATTTGGGGGGGGGGGGGGGGGTGGCGTGTAACCCTAGGTAGTTATTCAGCATCTTAAACAGTGGAAGAGGGGAAATGAAACCGGAAAAATTAGTTCAAAGTTCATCTGGCATTTTGTTTCCTTCTCTTTTTAAGGATCCGCAATCGGCTATACCTAAGGGAACACTCTTGGCTATTTTAATCACCACAATAGTGTATGCAGGAGCAGCTGTTGCAACAGGTAATGTCACTATTGTGTACAAATCTGATTTTAGTTTGTCAAAGAAGCAGTTCGGATTAGAAATGGAAAATATTTTCCTTTGATCAATGTAGTTTATCCTTTACGTTTTAGTGTATATGTCATTTTATTTTCCAGTGTTTGATAATTTTGGATCCCATTTAAAATTTCGGAGGAAAATGACATTCTCATAAGAATGCTATGACCTTGAAAGGCGAAAACAATAGTGTAGTGTTTCATAGAACGCTATAGACTGCTAAGCTGTCTTTCAGTACAATTGTACAAATAATAAACCTTGATGAATGGCCAATGCCTATATTTTAGTACACCAGCAAGGTTGGAAAGAGTAGCGGAGAGAATGAGATAGGCCAAAGTGGTTAGGTGACTTATTAAATGTTTGAAGTGGCTAGTCATTTATCCAAAATGTTTACTCTTTGCTTTCAACTTGGGTTACATGAATGAAAAGCTTTCTTTTACTTTATGGTCTTGGTGATCGTGGAACAATGAAAGCTTTATTGCAGTAAAATATTAATCAGGAGGTAAGTAAACTATCATTTTCAAAGCAAACATTGGTTCACTTGTGTGATTGACCTTGGAGTGACGTCAGTGAACCGTTTCTCCTCCAGTTTCCTAAGCCGCTACCTATTTAGATCCTAAAGAGCTGATTGTCAGTAAGTTTACTGACCGGGAAGAATAAGATGTGCTCGCTCACCAGGCTGGGTCAGTTTGACAAAAAATTGCCTCTCAGGTTTCTTTCCGAGATTTTTTAGAATCAGATATGAACATATGTAATACTACAATTGAAGCCTCAATCTAAAATGTTTTGGGGATCCACAAGACAGGAGCTGCATTGTTTTATGAAGGTTATCGGCTTTTTACCCCATTTCAAAGTACCTTTTAAAAGTACTGGAACTAAGGGATATATTCAGCTCTTAACATTCTAGTTCTGAATGAGCGAATTATACTGAACCTTTTCACCCTACCCTTCTCTTGTTTAGCCTTTTTAATATTATCGAGGTATTAGTGCACACATCATCATGAGGAAAACCTAAGACTATTCAGTTGAAAGCTTCTAACTAGTAGGTTCCTTCTTGGGACTCTTCTCACTGATTCTCAAAGCATGCAATATGTTCTGATAAGCAAGTGACGAAACATACCAGTGATTGTGTGAAAACCAGGTCTGAGAATAAATTACAATAGACTTGATTTGAAGGTGTTGATGTATTTTTCTAATAATGGTGACTGGGGTGACCTTAGCCACAAATGGTTCTTTTCACTCATTTGAAGCTTAAATGGACTCAAGCCACTAATCCAAATAGATGTTGCTTCTTGTAATTGTAGAAATTGTAAGAATAATTGGAAGAATAAAAATAGAAGGTAGGTAAAGTAACTCATCTGTGAGAGCCGTTTGATCCTGCAGCTGCTCCTGCTTAGGTCTTTCCGCCCTGGGACGTCTTTCCTACGTGAAGGGCGCTATACAAATGTAGTTTGTTGCTGATGTATGTTTGACATAAGTGGATTGATTTTGTGTTGTGTAAAATAATCTATTATTTGATATTTTTACTGTTCTTCAAAGGCCATTTTTAAACCGAGTGCTGAAACCTTGGTTTGGAGGCCGTGTCAGTTTAAAAGGGTTAAATTGTGACTGTCGCTAATCTAATAACGTAACGCACTGAAAAGTGGAATTCTTATGTTTGTGTGGAAAATTAATTAATAAATAAATAAATAAAATTAATTAATCAATAGAGCAAGATTATTTTATTTGTCCCTTTCGAGCTCCTGATGTTGTAAAACATTGGTTGTTTGACTTCTACATGTTTCATGAGTTTACGAGATCAGTTTGGATAAAGAAAGCCCTTCGGTCCATCCACAGGACTGAATCAAAAAAGGCCTCTTGAATGGGAGCCTTGATGTATAAATTTGATCTGAAGAATGAAAGAGATTGAGTAGCAAAATTCTAAATGCATTATAACATTTGGCTGGCTGAAGGGTTTTAAAATGAACAGATTGGTTCAAACCCTGCACTTTTTTTAAGCCTGACCATTATTCAGCTAATTGAAAGAAAAATAATGTAACTTGGCCTATAAAATATACTGCATTTTACAGTATATCCTGTGAAGCACCTTGAGACATCCTTCTGATACAAAAGGCTCTGTATCAAATATAAGGATGATTATTATTTACATACAATTCCATTCACACAAATTTTGTTTCTTATAAAAGCAAGTCCTATACTCTGGCCGTTACTTGTGGAGTGCTTTAAGATTTGTTTTTGAAACTTATCAAATTTCTGGGTTATATTTTAACAAGAGGGGACAGATTTGAGATTATTTCAGAATTAATAATAATAATAATAATAATCCTTGCATTTGATATATTGCTTTTCACGTGTTCTAGACGTCTCAAAGCGCTTCACAGAATAGACTGCAAAGTGAATTGACTATATATTTGTGGGCAAAAATGCGGCAGCCAATTCCGTGCAGCCGTGTCCCACAAACAGTCATGGATTGAAATGACCAATTTATTATTGTTTTTTTTGAGAGATTATTATCAAGCGTGTGGAGTAAGGAAACTTGCCCAAAGTTTCACCCTGCCAGGAATTGAACCCAGGTCTCTCGCTTGCAAAGTGAGTGCTTAACCACTGAGCTACAGGACGCCACAATGTGAATGATAAAAGCTAAGAAAGCTTAGTTCAGTGAATTAATAGGGAGCCTTTCTCATGCTGATCACGAAAGTAGCAAACTTTCCTCTGCTTCGCTATCCTTGTCCTCACTTTTAAAGCCATCCATGGTCGTGCTCCTCCCTAGCTTTGTGACCTCTGAACACCAAACCAACCTGTCCACTTCCTCCCTTCAGTGGGCACTGGCCTCCTCCACTGTCCCTCGCCCAGCCCACCCCACCATTGGCAGGCAGGACTTCAGCTTTTCTGCCCCCACCCTTTGGAACTCCATCCCCAAATCCCTCTGCATTCCCTCCTTTGAGGCCTGTCTCAAGACCTTCCTCTTTCATCGTGCCTTTTGCCACACTCCTACCCTTACTCCTCCAACGCTCTTGATTCCAACCCCCGGCTAGGGTGCAAACCCTTAACTGTCCAGCGCCTTGGGACGTGCTTCCGACATAAAAGGACCTATATAAATGTAATTTGTTCTTTTTTTATAATGGGAAAAGATTGCTATTTTTAGTTAGCAGCATAAGACAGCCAACACAATGTTCCACTTTTTGCTTGGATTTACACTGCAAGAAGTTTAATTGTGCATGCATTGAGCTGTAAAGAAATGCAAAATAACTCTGTACTGTTAGGACCAGGAACAAACTAGAATTTATTTAATTTCCCTTTGTGCTTTTCGTCAGGTGCCTGCATTGTCCGTGATGCCACTGGTAACATCAGTGATGCATTTATCCCTGGAACCGTGACGAACTGCACTACAGCAGCCTGCAGATTGGGTTTCAATTTCTCCTACTGCGACACAAATCGATGTGATTATGGCCTGATGAACAACTTCCAGGTGAGAAAGGAATTTTTAGTTCGCCCAAGTGTCCTTAGGCAGTGCCTCACTGATTAATGTGAAATTGTATATAGTTTCTAAGCAGTGTATATTGATGGATTTCTTTGACATTTTAATGAAACCCTACTGAATCATCCCAATCCATTGGAGGTCAGTGCTCTTGGATTAATTACATTCAGATCCAGGAATAAATTGGAAGATGAAGCACATCATCTGATTATATTTTATTTTTTGTTGCCAGATTTCTTCCCCTCTTCTTAAGGTGCTACTGGCCCATACTGGGGTTCAGTACTGGTAACACTTGTCTGAGTTGCATTTGTTCGTGGGTGAGGCTGATCGGGAAGATTTTAATATCCTGAATTACGTTCTCAAATTACCCTGGCTCTCAGTGGTTTGTTATTAGATTTGCAACTGCCGTTTTACATGTCCCTCACCACTAGACACACTGCTTCCAATCAGACAGCTCATGACATTTAAACCCATTTGAACTTTCAGACAGAATGACTCATTTACTGTTTTATTGGCTGTTCTCAATAGCGCTGAGGGTATGGATCACCAGCACAAGAGTGATCGAGATAAAACAACTAGCATTGAGATGCTGCTATGTGACATTTGGTGAGATTTCAGAACGCATAGTTGCTCAAATTTTGCTGCAGAAAGCTAGACAATAGTCCTTGATGATTTGCTAGAATGCAGGTTTCTTTGTCGCTTCTCCCCTTCCCTGTGATATCAGATTGTTCATAAGATTCAGCCAAAGGAAACTGAGTTAGCCTTTTAATCCCTACTGAGCAAGAAAATCTTTTGGCCCTATAACCTCTTGGTGTCCAGAGTCATTTAACCTTTCAGGGACCTCCTCCGAAAGAATCTGCAAACTCCGATGTAGCGTAATGGAGGCAGAGTCCATGGTAGCTTTCAAGAGGGAAGTAGACGGGCATGAAAGAGAGGGCATGAAGGGGTCTGGGATAAGGTGGGGCAGTGGGATTAAATTAATCTCTTTGCTGTATGAGTTAGTGTGAACTCAGTGAGCCGAATGGCCTCTTTTGTGCTGTACATTTATGCTGGCCAAACAACAACAACAACTTGGATTTATATAGCGCCCTCCATGCTGGACAGCGTCTCAGAGCGCTTTACAGTAACGGATCCCGAAACAGGTCCTGATTGGAATGCTTCTGAAACCCTCTTACTGGTGGTAAACAAAACACAAAATACTGCAGGTGCTGGAGTGGGCCATTCAGAACGGACGAAGGATCGTGGACCTGAAACGTTGACTCACTTTCCTTTCTCCATAGATGCTGCCTGACCTGCTGAGTGTTCCCAGCGACTTCTGTTTCTGTTTCTTGTAGGTGATGTCCGCCCCAGAGCTCCATGGTGATCTATCCTACCTCAGCTGCCATTTATTCTCACGATAGGCAGTGAATTTACGCCATTAACGCTTTTCAACCACATTTCCAAATTAGAAATCCTACAAGACATTAGTGCACAAGAATAGCAATACATAGTTTAATGGCAGTGTAGCTATTAGCTATTATGTGCTGGTCAAAGGAGGCGTGATGAGATTGAACGAACAATAGTTTATTTGCATATCTATTCTCACCATTATCACTCATGGAGTACTTTCATGTTCAATAGCTCTTTTATTTGGTTTAATTCGATTTTCTATTTGCTAACATGATTACATTGAGGTTTTTAATTTCAAAACAGATGGGGTTTATGTCAAAAGGCTTCATAGTATGCTATTGTGAAACAAATAGAATTGTCAGATGAAATCTGGTATTGATGATGAGCATAGCAGACAGCTGTCCATTTTTTGAATTGGTTGCTTTGCCAAATAGAATTGAACAATTTAAAGAAAATGTTACTGTATACTGGATGTTTAAAAGGCCACATTAGTTTCACAGCAAGAGGATGGACTGTGGGAAGCACTATTGTAACGGTCATTTTTGAATGTGGAGTTGTTACTTTAATCAGAAGTGCCATCTTTCAAACAAGACGTTAAAACTGAGATCCCATGTTCAGTTGGACATTAAAGATCTCATAAACCTATTTGAGAACGAGAAGGCAGTTTGTCCTAGCTGCTAGCTGGCAATATCCCAGATAAAAATTGGTCACTTATTCCATGGATATACGTAAGACATTGCTATATGCAAATTGGCTGTTGCATTTGTCTACAAAATACACAGTCACTGCTACATTTTGCAGTATATACTGTGAGCGCTTTGAGACATCCTCCCAGGCACTAAATCAAATACAAGTATTATTGGTTATGAAATTAGAATTAAAATGATCACTGTATATAGTATGGTATTATGAGGGACATTAATTTTAAGATGAAAGATAAATATACTGTGATGTCAATTCTCTGAATGGCTGGAGATGATATAAAGAGACCTGTAGCTCAGTAAAGTGGTTGTATCTTGTGACTTATTTTTTGTTGCACCTAACAGTTTTTATTGCCCTTGTGTAACACTTGATTGCCAGTGGTTCATAATTCTCCAATGTGGCAATTGCAATAACTAGTTGTTAATATGCCCTTATTACAGTTCAGTGCCCTTATTATGGCAGTTAATTGCAAGGATTCAGTACGCTCAATAATTATTGTTTAGTAATGAAGAGATCAGCCATTTGGGGAAACATTAAGGTATCTTGTGCTTTATTCTGGCATGTAACCGAATAGTTCAAAATTCTCAGCCAGATTCACTGCTTAAAATTCCTGCTAACTACCCTGAGCTGAATTTCGTCTTCATTTCCTCGACTTTTAAGAATTTTGCTTGGTGAAATATTGAAAATTTTCCAGAGGGGTATGTTTAACTGGGTACCATTATGCAATTAGGAAGATGATGTGGTGATTTATTCCCCTTCCCATTGCTAACAAGCAAGCATACAGCAGAGGCTACAAGGGCTGAATGACTGCACAGACAGCAGCAAATTGTACATTTTTGGTGATCATATTGGAAGATAGAATTTTTTTTAGAATTTCTTTGCATCACAATTCAAAACTGGACATAAATATACTTTTACTGCTGGAGAATAGAAAATAATGCAATTATGTCACATTTTGTTAAATTTGTTCAAATCAAAGTTTAAATGACAAGAGTTAACCAAAATTTTCCTATGTTGGCATTCCCTTAAACATTGTACATTTTTAGCATTGACATTTCATAAAGAAATATGTAGATGCCTCTGGATTCTTGCAAATCAGCATTTATTGAACTGCAGATATGGATACATTTTTGAATGTTGTAATATTGCTATGCCCCAACTAGCCTCTCCAGAGCAGTAGGGTTGAGCCTACACCCCACTAACTTTAATCATTTGTCCTACCATAATTCAGTGACATGTAATTCAGTGACATATGGACCAAATGAGGAAGAATGTTAGGTTATGCATCATACATACGTACAATGATTGATTCCAATTTCCCCATCTAAATCTCCCTCCCTTCTTAGTCTAATTTAATTGTATGTGGAGGATGACCACATGAGGAAGAATATGGGTTACGTACTATGTTTAATCTATGGTTTTGTTAAGCTTATGATTGTAGTCCCAACTGCCACATCCTAAACCACCTTCACTTCCTGGCTTTGTTTTCTTACTCACCTTGTACAACTTAGAATATTCAAAATATTTTGCATTCTCGCACGTAACAGTACTTTCCCTCATGATTTTTAACTCCATTTTTGCCGTTTCCTACTTTTATAAAGTAGTATTCAGGTCTCTGGAACTTGTGTCCTCTCCCCCACCAGGCTCCAGGAACCAATCACCCCTGTTCTTGCCCGGCTTCACTGGCTCCCCATTCCTCAGAGAATCGAATACAAAACCCTTGTTCTTATTTTCAAGGCCCTCCATGGTCTTGCTCCCCGCTATCTCTCTGACTTCATAATCCCATATCAACCCATCCACTCCCTCCACTCGGCAGACACTGGCTTGCTTCAGGTCCCCCTGCACTTCCTGCTCCACCATTGGCGGCCGGCCATTCAGCATATCTGCCCCCACACTCTGGAACTCTATCCTGCAATCCCTCCTCCTCACCCCCTCTCTTGCTTCCTTCAATTCCCATCTGATGACCTTCCTCTTCGACCGTGCTTTTGGCCACCCTCCCACCCCTAACCCCTCTGCCTCCTCCACTTCTAACCCCAACTCCCATTCGGGTCCAAAACCCCTCATTGTCCAGCGTCTTGGGACGTCTTTCCAACGTGAAGGGCACTATACAAGTGTAATATACCAGGGCTCTGTCCTTGGCCCTCTCCTCTTTAATATCTACAAGCTCCCCCCTGGTGACATCATCCACAGACATTGGGTCAACTTTCATATGTATGCGGATGACACCCAACTCTATGTTTCTGCCTCCACCCTCAACACCAGGATCACTGCTGTCCTGACAGACTGCCTGTCGGACATCAAGTCCTGGATGAGGGCAAATTTCCTACAGTTGAATGTGAACAAGACTGATGTCCTCCTGATTGGCTCGTGCCAGTGCCTCTGCACCTCAGGCTCTGGCAGCATCAACCTCCATGGTTGCACACTTCAACTCACCAAGCCATTGGCTCCCTATCCTTCAGAGGATCCAGTTCAAGATCCTGGTCCTCACCTACAGAGCCCTCAAATGGCCTCAGCCCACCCTACCTCTACGATCTCCTAAACCCTACCAACCTGTCCATTCCCTCCGCTCAGCCGGCTCTGGCCTGCTCCACGTCCCCTGACCCACCCGCCCCACCATTGGCGGGAGAGCCTTCAGCCACTCTGCCTCCAACTTCTGGAATTCCATCCCCCAATCACTCGCCCCCTCCTTAACCTCCTTCAAATCCCACCTCAAGACCCTCCTCTTCGACCTTGCCATCGATCACCCCCCTTCCCCTCCCCCCCCCCGACCCCAGCTCGAGTCTGAAATGCTGTACATTGTCCAGCGCCTTGGGACGTCCTCCCGATGTGAAAGGCGCTATGCAAATGTAATCTTGTTATTCTAATTTGTTGTTGTTGTAAGGAAAGGTTTTCTAAGCTTT